CTCTACGTCTCTCGAAGGAGTGCAAATTAAGATGCTTTAACCTGTCTCTGTTCTCAAGGTTCCTAATGCCCGGGATTAGTCTTGTCATTCTCCTCTGAATTCTTTCTAGGGATTCTATATCCATTCTGTAGTACGGTGACCAGAACTGAACTGCGTAATCCAAGTGAGGTCTCACAAGCGCAAGATATAGTTTTAGGATGACCCCGCTAGTCTTGTAACTAACACTCCTTTGTATGAACCCAAGTACTTTATTAGCCTTGTTTCGAGCAAATGAACATTGATTACTTGGTTTAAGGTTCGTACTTATCATTACTCCTAAACTTTCTCACAGCCGGATTTCTCTATAACATCGTTGTTCATCTGATATCTGGTTTCTCTGTTTACATCTCCTAGACTAAGTACTTTACATTTGTCCACATTAAATTTCATCTGCCATTTTTCAGACCATTCGAAAAATTTGTTTAGGTTAATGTCGGTTATTGTTAGGGGTAGGTTATATTATGGGTAGGTTAAGATGGTGTGTTTAATGTTAGGGGTAGGTTATGTTAGGGATAGGTTAAGATAGTGTAGGTTAAGTTAGGCTAATCTTAGCGGTAGGATACTTTTGGTGTAGGTTAATTTAGTGTAGGTTAATGTTAGGGACAGGTTATGTTTGGGGTAGGTTAAGTTGTGTTAAGGGCAGGTTAAGTATGGTTAGATTAGATTAGGTTAGGATAAGATAAAGTTAGGTTAGGTTCGGTTAGATTAGGTTAGGTTAGATTAGGTTAGGTTAGGTTGGGTTAATTAATTCGCACAGTATCCAGGGACTCATGGAGTTATTAGTGACGTTAATGAATCCTCAGATAACGCTATTAACTAATGTATGAGAATTTAAAGAAAATAATAGTAAATAAAAGAACAGAAAAGTGCTATTTAAAAGGCAAAGGCATGCCAAGCAACATTAAATTCATTTATATGAGAGAGACGGTAACGTGGAAGGAATTTTTGGATAATAGAAACGACCAAAATATATTTCATTAAGTAAATCTCTTGTAATTAGCATAGTTCTTCCATAATTAAGACGGACATAATTCACCCCAATTATTATTTTATAGCGCGGGATGTAAAAGAGAGAGAGAGAGAGAGAGAGAGAGAGAGAGAGAGAGAGAGAGAGAGAGAGAGAACGAACTATACAGATTATGTCTGACCATAATACATGCATATATTATCTATCTATCTATCTATCTATCTATCTATCTATCTATCAGTCTGTCTGTCTGTCTGTCTGTCTGGGTATCTATCTATCTATCTATATTTATTTATCTATCTATCTATCTATCTTTCTATCTATCTATCTATCTATCTATCTATCTATCTATCTATCTATCTATCTATCTGTCTGTCTGTCTGTCTGTCTGTTTGTCTGTCTGTCTGTCTGTCTGTCTGTCTGTCTGTCTGGGTATCTATCTATCTATCTAGCTATCTATCTATCTACATGTTTACTTTATATGTATGTGCTTATACTCTTATAAAATAATACCCTCCTTCCTTCCCTCCCCTTTCCCCTATCTCCCCTTTCCCTACCTTCCTGCTGTCTCCCCTCCCCTCTCTTATTCCCTCCCCTCCTCTCCTCCTTTCCTTTGCCTCCCTTCCCCCAACCTCCCTTCCCCTTCCTTCCCCTCCCTCCTCTCTTCCCCTCGTACACTCCTCCCCAAATTTATTCTCGCAGTAAAAATATCGGAGAAAGATCACCTGGACAAGTCGTCGTACCGGTGATCATCAAGTCCAGAAGTTCGGCCTCCGTGTATGTGTCAATTTGCTCACCTGTAAAATCCCACATCAGTGTAATTCTTCATTTTTATTGGCTGATCAAGACAACATTTTGAGTTCCGTATGACATTTATAGTTTTATTTTGAGCTGTTTTAGTAGTTTTAATGTCTGGAAATCCTTACCTTCTTGGCGTATCGTAAGTGAATTTATTTTATTTTTTTCAATTTGATTCATTATAAAACTTGACGAGCTAAGACATCTATGACGTATTTTTATAGCTACCCTTTTTGTATGTGGTGTAATGGTCAGCATCCTCGCCTCGCAAGCGAGCGGACCCGAGTTCGATCTTCGGGCAGGGTGAAACTATGGGCAAGTTTCTTGACCCCATTTGCCTCTGTCTACCCAGGAGTAATTGGGAACATGGATGTTAATCGATTTGCGGACCGTATTTCGGGGTAATGGTTAGCCAGCGCAGTTGGCGAGTTTTCTAGTCGTCTCGGACTATTCCTCGACACTGGGTTACGCAGCTCGTTAACTTGGGGTGTGGTTGTTGTGTTGGCGACAGCTTCTACACCTTAACAAATTCACGCCTAGGAGGCCCTTAGGCCGGCCATCCTCGATTTCGAGGGGCTTCCATTATTATGTATGTATGTATGTATGTATGTATCTGGTAATATTAACACTATAAATGAACTCCATCTACGGTTTAAGCGATGTAAAACTTTGTGAAAGAAAAATGTATAACAGGGTGCGTTCTCTCTTCAACCCTGTGTTCCCCGCCTCCACACGGCTAGCTACCTCCACACACACACACACACACACACACACACAAGCTTCACTCTCCACAGAAAAAGAAAGACAGTGAAAAAACGAGCTCCAATGCCTGTAAAAATGTGCGAGAAATGGGAGAAATGTGAACCGGGAAACAATTGTCAAGCCATTTTTAACATTCCACCCTCTGACGCATAAATTTTGAACGTTGTTATTTCAGGGTTGACATTTACCAGGTACTCGTTAGGAGATATGTCCGGGTTGTGTTTTGGGGGATCAATAATATAGGGTAAAAATATTTAAGGAGAGAGTGATGGAGAGAGAGAGAGTGACAGAGTAAATAAAAGAGGCAAAAGAGATAAAGAGAGGAAAAAAGAGATAAAGAGAGGAAAAAGGAGATAAAGAGAGGAAAAAAGAGATAAAGAGAGGAAAAAAGAGATAAAGAGAAGAAAAAAGAGATAAAGAGAGGAAAAAAGAGATAAAGAGAGGAAAAAGAGATAAAGAGAAGAAAAGGGAGATAAAAGAGAGATTAAGAGAGAGAAACAAAATAGAGAGAGAGGAAAAAGAATAAATATACTAAAATATTCTCAACACGGGAAATAACAAACACGACTTATTATATGCTGTGAATATATTGTATATATGTTATTATATAGCCATTGAACACTGATATACCAGGCATATATGGGTGAAGGAATGGTCAAGTTTACACGTGATGTTCAGGTGTATCATTAAGTTTACACGTGATGTTCAGGTGTATCATTAAGTTTACACGTGATGTTCAGGTGTATCATTATGTTTACACGTGATGTTCAGGTGTATCATTAAGTTTACACGTGATGTTCAGGTGTATCATTAAGTTTACACGTGATGTTCAGGTGTATCATTAAGTTTACACGTGATGTTCTGGTGTATCATTAAGTTTACACGTAATGTTCAGGTGTATCATTAAGTTTACACGTGATGTTCAGGTGTATCATTCAGTTTACACGTGATGTTCAGGTGTATCATAAAGCTTAAACATGATGTTAAGGTGTATCATTAAGTTTACACGTAATGTTCAGGTGTATCATTAAGTTTACACGTGATGTTCAGGTGTATCATTAAGTTTACACGTGATGTTCAGGTGTATCATTAAGTTTACACGTGATGTTCAGGTGTATCATTAAGTTTACACGTAATGTTCAGGTGTATCATTAAGTTTACACGTGATGTTCTGGTGTATCATTAAGTTTACACGTAATGTTCAGGTGTATCATTAAGTTTACACGTGATGTTCAGGTGTATCATTAAGTTTACACGTGATGTTCAGGTGTATCATTAAGTTTACACGTGATGTTCAGGTGTATCATTAAGTTTACACGTGATGTTCAGGTGTATCATTAAGTTTACACGTGATGTTCAGGTGTATCATTAAGTTTACACGTAATGTTCAGGTGTATCATTAAGTTTACACGTGATGTTCTGGTGTATCATTAAGTTTACACGTAATGTTCAGGTGTATCATTAAGTTTACACGTGATGTTCAGGTGTATCATTAAGTTTACACGTGATGTTCAGGTGTATCATTAAGTTTACACGTGATGTTCAGGTGTATCAAGTTTACACGTGATGTTCAGGTGTATCATAAAGCTTAAACATGATGTTAAGGTGTATCATTAAGTTTACACGTAATGTTAAGGAATACCATAAAGTTTACACATGATGTTAAGGGATACCATAAAGTTCACACGTAATGTGAAGGAATACCATAAAGTTTACACGTAATGTTAAGGAATAACATAAAGTTTACTCGTGATGTTAAGATATACCATTAAATTTACACGTGATGTTCAGGTGTATCATAAAGTTTACACATGATGTTAAGGTGTATTATTAAGTTTACACGTAATGAATACCATAAAGTTTCACATGATGTTAAGGAATAACATAAAGTTTACTCGTGATGTTAAGATATACCATTAAGTTTACACGCGATGTTAAGGTGTATCAAAGTTTGCAATAATTAATTTTCTTGATGACTTACGAGTATAATGACTTAACCATTTGATTATAATGAATTTACCACTTGATTATAATGAATTTACCACTTCAGTATAATTATTTAACTCCTTGTGTGTTAATTTAGCCAACGTTGAGTATCTGGTCCTACGTTGTAAGTGTACATGTGTGATTTAAGTCAAAGTTAGGAACTGTGTATGAAGAAAGTTGGGGGATGATTCAAGTCGTCCTCTTACTAGCCCCAGCATATAGGTAGAGTGGGTCAGTGATGTTGATAGTGACTACAGGTGAGTCTTGAAGGCTTCTTATGTGGTACTCTCTTACATCAAGACTAGAGAAACAGACAGTGATAGATACAGTATATGATATAGGAGTGATAGATAGAGTAACTGATATAGGAGTGATAGATAGAGTAGCTGATATAGGAGTGATGATACAGTAGATGATATAGGAGTGATAGATAGAGTAGCTGATATAGGAGTGATAGATAGAGTAGCTGATATAGGAATGAGGGATATAGTAGATGATATTATAGGAGTGAAAAACAAGTACAGTATTAAGATTCACATTCCATAAATCTAGCGTAACCCTGAGTCGAAATAGGAAGCTGAGTAAGAGCGATATTTTAAATTCGAGGCAAAATTCGGAATATTCTTTCGTGGTTTTGTCATGTCCTGATTCGAGGAAGGAGAAGGTTGTCGTTGTTGTGGGTGACTGCATAGAAGAGTTAGGAATAGTCCTCTTCAGTACCATGAGACTTGAAACTCGTAGTGGAGGCCAGACAAACTTTCTAGAGTAACTTCCTCTAGTCCTGTTGATGCCAGAGAGACGCGCTGATGACGTGCATTATTTTGGTGATGTCAAGTAGGCGTTGAGGACCAATTCTATTACGAACACCATGAACGCCAACCACAGCCCTGTAGGTTAAATTAGGTTAGGTTAGGTTAAATTAGGTTAGGTTAGGTTAAATTAGGTTAGGTTAGGTTAGGAACTACTGATTTATCTGCTTCCCATACATTGTTAAACGAGAAAAGTGTTGATAGTAATTAGTGTTGACTGTAGGATTTATTTTCTCACATTGAACTGAAATTATTTACACAATGTAGGGGATAGATTAGTTGATAACACAGAACAGATTATAAACTAGTGAATTAACTATCTTGGGTTACTAAAGTTTATAAAGAGTGTCTATCAACCCCCCCTCCCCCCCCCACCTTCCAGGCCAGCGACGAGGAATCACGAGAACCTCCCTAAAAATCATCGTCTTTGAATGGAATATGAGGGACTATTACCATATCTTTGTAAGGGTCCTTGTCTGAGTTTAATGCATTTGGGTTTTCATATGATAATTTCTGGAATGTATTTATAGGAAACGTTTGTGTAGGAGCTATTGAACTCAAACGTTTCAATTTAACGTCGCGAAATTTTACTTTACCCATTGGGATATTTGTTACTTCTTCTTCTTCTTATTCTTCTAAATAGTGATATTAGAAGTAATATTTGTTTTTGTAGCAATATTAATCGTACTTTTACTACTTATAATAATAATAATAATAATAATAATAATAATAATAATAATAATAATAATAATAATAATAATAATAATAATAATAATAATAATAATAATAATAATACGAAGAAAAAGAAAAAAAACATATACGTTTTATTACATTACATTATAAGTGATATTAAGGAACATAAAACGTGGCCTAAATATCAAATAGGCCTTTGCACTACTCACTCGCTCACGTAAGCATAAACACCTAAGGTAAACTCTTATATACCACGTCTTCCCCCGACACTCCCACCTCCAGAAAGCCAGAGATTCATAAACAAGTTTCTTTACCTCCGCCATAGATGCAGAAGACGCCAAGGAAGTCCTCCAGCTCAAGCGGTCGGAGACTGTTGGTTGGTAGGCCAAAATTGACTGAATTCAGGCACTTGGTGAGGTTTATCATGTTGTTCGTGATGATATAGTCCAGAAGGCCGGACTCACGTAGACTGTATACTCTGAGGGAGAGAAGTGATAAGATCAGCAGCAACAACAACAACAACAAAATAAATATAATAAATAATAATAATAATAATAATAATAATAATAATAATAATAATAATAATAATAATAATAATAATAATGAATTAACTTTCCGGTGTACGTATTTTAAAGACTTATTGTCCAGTACAAAACCTGACCCTTGGAGAATAATTGGTCTTTGTTTACTCTCAAGAATTAACAAAATACGTGTTATGGTATTATTAGATCATTTTTGTTTTGCCATGCGAAATTAAGCGTCACTTTTGTTTTTGTTAATATATAATAGTGGGTTTTAACCACGTAGAAAGCCTATATACAGGAGTTAGCATTAATATAAAAATTATCCCTCCTCATATGTTCAGGTAGGGTTGTCAGTGACCACTGTATTATTTAATTTCTCGATTTCACCCGTAAACTCGTCTGGTAGCACAATGTAACGCTGTACTTTATGGGACGAATTATACAGAATCAATTACAAATCACTCTTATAGGTCACTTACCCTTTAATTCAATGGACAGGACAGTTTAATTAATTTACCCTTTTTATATGGTGCCGAATAACCCCCCTTCGATTTGACAGACAAAAAGAAACCAAGGAATCACTCACATTGGATCGACTTTCTGTTTGAGACCTGACCCCTTTGTAAATCCCACACAAAGGCTGAGAGCACTAAAGATTGGCTCCCTGGCTATGTACATCGGGCACTCGTTCAGCTGTAAGTGAGAACAGATAAATATGTTAATTAATAACAGGTAACTATGTTAATTAAGAACAGGTAACTGTGTTAATTAAGAACAGATAAATATGTTAATTAAGAATAGGTAAATATGTTAATTAAGAACAGGTAAATGTGTTAATTAAGAACGTAAATATGTTAATTCAGAATAGGTAAATACTGTATGTCAATTAAGAACAGGTAAATGTGTTCATTAAGAACAGATAAATATGTTAATTAAGAACAGGTAAATTTGTTAATTATGAACAGATAAATGTGTTGATTAAGAAGAGGTAAATGTGCTAATTAAGAGCAGATAAATGTGTTAATTAAGAACAGTTAAATATTTTAACTATGAAGCAGATTTTTTGGGGGATGACTCTTTTATATGACTGTTTCTCTTTTTCTCATCCTTTTGTCTTGACACATTTTCACCTCTCTAGACCACTCGAGGCTCTGTCACTGAAGAGACTCCGAATAAACACTCTTATGACATTAAAGCAACACTGTTATCTCTAAAGACTCATATCAGTGGCACTACCAGCGAACACTAGCGCGTGATTGGCTTTTCTTTCTAAGCCGGAAATGATACCTTTAAATAGAGTAATGCCAGGCGAAGATTCGTCTAACACGTTGATGATGACTGTTCGTACCTGGTTGAAGGTGTCCACAATAATAGACTGGAGGGCTATATTGGGACTGATCACTGAGGTCTCTCCTTTTATGATCCTTGGGATGGCGCTCTTCGGCTTGCTGTGAATGTTCACCTGGTCCTTCATCCTCCACAACAAACTGCCCGGAGTAGCTGTCTGGTGGGGCAAGACAAGAACAAAAGCGAACTGAGAAAAATATCCACGACAGGCATATCACGTGGTTAAAGAGTGAAATAGAATAAATGTTTGCATAATTACATTAATCATTAAAACTGGAGCCAAATGACATTTTTAGAAACTAAATTATTTAAATAACGGAGGAATACAATGACTTAATCCTATGAGGGGCAGAAGTTTCTCTCAGGTGAAGAAAATCGTCTGGCTTTAGCCGGAATAAAATACTCGAGATAATTAAACACACGACAAAAAAAACTCGTCAATTGATGTTTATAAAATAGAATATATATGTAAACACACCTCTAACCAATCCTTATTCTACCCGGCCAACCTTTATTACCTGTATAAAATTATACATCATGCTACTCTTGACGATGTAAACAGGGATATCTGTGGCCGCCAGCTCCTCCATGGTGTCGAAGGGAAGCTGCAGTTTAGGCATAATCAACATGGCCTTCAAGTTAGAGCGGTAGACAGATCCCATCACAAGTGCCGACAACGCCCACAGCCCCGATAGGAGGGTTAAAGAACCTCCTCTCGGCCACCAGACAGATGCTGTTGGCAGAATGAGGTTAGGTTAGGTTAGGTTAGATTTAAATTACGATAGTAATGAGTAATGTTGTCAGGACAAGACACATTCATATTGTGTTTTCAGGACAAGAGACTCACACTGTGCGAGAGTTGCACTCAGGGTCCACAGAGCGGAGGTTGAGGCTAGAGTGAGGAGAGACACCTCCTCTGGTCTTTCCGTAAGCCTTTCCGCCGACTCGCCTCTCCCGCCCTTACTGTAGATAAACATTATTGACACTTACTTTACCTTAAATTAATTACACGGTGAATTAACTTCGACGATTACAGCAATATATCATTAATGTATATATATATATATATATATATATATATATATATATATATATATATATATATATAAAAAAATATATATATATATATATATATATATATATATATATATATATATATATATATATATATATATATATATGTATGCATATATATGTATATATATATGCATGTATGTCTGTATATATGTAATCAGTCTATCTAGCCTTAACGATGCCTATCCTTATGTATTGAATTCTATCCACTTATCATCGTACCTATATATCAGGCACTTACTGTGGGTCGGGGTGCTGGAGTGTAGACCGACCCCACTGTAAGAGGAACACGGCGAGGAACACGAAAATGGAAACCAGGAAAAAGAGTCCCCATACCTGTAATTAAGATCCGTTTACCTGTTATTATGATCCTTTTACCTGTAATTAAGATCCGTTTACCTGTTATTATGACCAATGTATCTGTTATTAAGAGTCGTTCACCTGTTATTAAGTAGTCGTTCACCAATTATTAAGATCCGTTTACCTGTTATTAGGATCCGTTTACCTGTTATTAAGATCCGTTTCCCTGTTATTTAGACCACCCGTTAATCTGTTAATTTAAAACCGTTCGCCTGTATTAAGAACCGTTCCCTTTAGATCATCCAATTAATTCAAACTAAGGCTTTACAAACCAAATCAGAAATTATCAAGGCTTCACAGACACCATCCAAACCTTACCAAGGCTTCACACACTTAACAAACCAAGGCTTCACCCATCTAACATGTTTAAGGCTTCACAAACCCCACCCAACTTATACCAAGGCTTCACAAACGCACTCAGATCTTACCATACTCGTATAAGGTTTCACGAAGCCAGTCAGATCCGCTTGGTAAACTGGGGACTTGTACATCGCCACCTGCTTATCGACGACGAAGGGCACACTGAAGTCTAGGACCTCCACCCTCTCAAAGTCGATAGCGAAAGGGGATCCTGACATGTCCGCTTCCTGAAGGTGAAACGTATGTGGTTAGGACATCATATAGTTGTTGATGTCTATTTCCTGAAGGTGAAATTAGGATTGGTGTCTATTTCCCATGGGTGAAAAATATGTAGTTAGGACATTTCTAGGGATATATATATATATATAGTTTGGACATCAATTATGTGCTGATGTTATGATGTGTTAGTGAGCTTTTAATATCTAAGGTCTTTAAGCAAGTAATCTAGGTTAGTACATACACTAATGATCATCAGTTAAAGATTAAGAGAGAGAGAGAGAGAGAGAGAGAGAGACAGACAGACATACAGACAGACAGACCATAACTCACCCCACGAGAGATCTGACCAATAACACCCGTCCAGGACCCATTAGGTTGCCGTGTACCGTAATGATAATCCGGATCCGCTAAGACGAACTCGTAGCTGTGGAGATGAGTAAGTGAATGGGTGAATAATGTGTGGAGATGAGTGAATGAGTGAATAATGTGTGGAGATGAGTAAGTGAATGGGTGAATAATGTGTGGAGATGAGTGAATGAGTGAATAATGTGTGGAGATGAGTAAGTGAATGGGTGAATAATGTGTGGAGATGAGTGAATGGCTGAGTAATGTGTGGAGATGAGTAAGTGAATGGGTGAGTAATGTGTGGAGATGAGTGAGTGAATGGGTGAGTAATGTGTGGAGATGAGTAAGTGAATGGGTGAGTAATGTGTGGAGATGAGTAAGTGAATGGGTGAGTAATGTGTGGAGATGAGTAAGTGAATGGGGTGAATAATGTGTGGAGATGAGTGAATGAATGGGTGAGTAAATGTGGAGATGAGTAAGTGAATGGGTGAATAATGTGTGAGATGAGTAAGTGAATGGGTGAGTAATGTGTGGAGATGAAAGTAAGTGAATGGGTGAGTAATGTGTGGGAGATGAGTAAGTGAATGGGTGAATAATGTGTGGAGATGAGTAAGTGAATGGGTGAGTAAATGTGTGGAGATGAGCGAATGGGTGAATAATGTGTGGAGATGAGTAAAGTGAATGGGTGAGTAAATGTGTGGAGATGAGTGGAATGGCTGAGTAATGTGTGTGGAGAAAGATGAGTGAATGGGTGAGTAATGTGTGGAGATGAGTGAATGGGTGAATAATGTGTGGAGATGAGTAAGTGAATGGGTGAGTAATGTGTGGAGATGAGTAAGTGAATGGGTGAGTAATGTGTGGAGATGAGTGAATGGGTGAATAATGTGTGGAGATGAGTGAATGGGTGAGTAATGTGTGGAGATGAGTGAATGGGTGAGTAATGTGTGGAGATGAGTGAATGGCTGAGTAATGTGTGGAGATGAGTGAATGGGTTAGTAAAAGTAGATAGCTTAAGAAGTGAGTGAAAGTGAGTGAAATTAAACGGGAATAATATCAGTAAGAAGACAAACTTAATGAATAAATGAATTGATAAATGAATAAATTGGTAAAATAGTGAATAAAGAGATGAATAAGTCCATAACGGAATCAATAAAACTAGGAAATGAGATACTTAATAACTTAGTAAATCGAAAGATAAATGGATAAGTTAGAATAGTAATGAACAAAGATGTGAATAAGCTCATAGCGAAAGAATGAATGTATAAAGACATGAGGATACTGATGAATAAGATAATTAATGAGTAAGCTATTGAAGAGAGGAATATGACGAAGTGCATAAATGAGTAAAAAATTAACATATTAATTAATTTTTTCATGAATTAACATTAGCTGATTTAAATATGTAGATAAAAATGCACACACACACACACACACACACACACACACACACACACACACACACACACACACACAAGAGGTAAGACAGTGCCATACAAGCCCTTGAGACACATGTACACAGTGCCAAAAATAAATAAAGAGTGCCAGCACCTTACCAGTAGTTGAGTTTCTTTGTTATGAGGTTAAGAATTTCCACCATAGCGCCAGTCACTACCCCGGTCTTCGAGGTGACGATGAAAGGTGGAAACTGTAGGAGTAAATAAAACAGTGTTAAAAGTCAATAGAAAAGTATCACTTGAAGATTAGATATTCTAACCTAACCTAACCTAACCTAATCTTCAGATGATCCGAAAAATAATATTCAGAAATATTGTATAAGTGAGGTACAAGCTTATTTATTCAGGTCATAGCATAGTTATTACATTAGTGTGACAGTGATGTTAAGTTAGTGCTATGAGCTGGATATAAGTTTAAAGACAGATATAAGTTGAAATATTCTCAGTAAATAAATAAAAAAATCATCAAATTATAATTATACTGAAAGGAAAAAAATGCTGCGAATTTACCAATGTGGCGGCGTTACACACACACACACACACACACACACACACACACACACACACACACACACACACACACACACACACACTCACATCTCTATAAAGTTTTGGTTTTACACAACAGCAACATCCATCGCTTTTATAAATGTTCGTTGTGCTTCAGTGAACAGCGTCGATCACGTTCTACAACCACCAGAAAGAAAGACAAACAGACAGACACCCACACCCACACACAGCGGGGTATGTTTTCACAACCTTTGCTCTGGTATCAACACTGTGAGTCCTGTTCCATTGTTTTGACATCAGCTGTTCTCTGTTTTAACGTGTTTTGGTGTGTGGCTGTTTTTCCCGCCCCTGCTAGTTGAGAGAGAGAGAGAGAGAGAGAGAGAGAGAGAGAGAGAGAGAGAGAGAGAGAGAGAGAGAGAGAGAGAGAGTAGGAGATATAGAGAGTAGGGGAGAGAGAGAGGGAGAGAGAGAGAGAGAGAGAGAGAGAGAGAGAGAGAGAGAGAGAGAGAGAGAGAGAGAGAGAGAGTTGTGAATCCTGTACTACACAATAAAAGAAAGTATTTACCTCAGGTGGGGGAGATTCATGTAATTCTCTAAAGTATCCACAAGAAAGAAGACGATTCCCTTCTGCATCACCAACGAGGAACCTAACTTCTGACCTCATCCTGGTAACTCACTCTTATTAGCAAAACTCAACCCATCTCAATATCCGGTGAAAATACTACCCGCCACGCTTGCACTTCCCGTCATTCAACTAAGAAATAAGACGCGTTGGTTGCATTTCCGTTATACTGAATGACCCACTTTGTGACACCGGATCAGCGCCGTCCATGGCAAGTGACAGAAATGCGATTAGACTGTCAATTCTATAAAGATTAGCACATCCCCACGAATCGACGGGAATACGATCAGAAGGACAGTTCTTCCAACATACTGAGATTTATTACATTTTCTCCCGAGTTTTGTGGATTTTATGGTCTGGTTATATAACCACAACCTCGAGGCGGATAATTCAGTACAAATAACACGTGTGGAAAATGCTCGTAAAATAATGATGATAATGATGGTGGTGGTGGTGGTGGTGGTGGTGGTGGTGGTGGTGGTGGTGGTGGTGAGCATACATTCGATAAATTCCATTTGGGACAGCAATATAATGATAGTCTTTTTTTCATAAAAATAACCTAAAACGTCATACTTTTAGAACACACACACACACACACACACACACACACACACACACACATAGACAAAAAAAATATTTCATACAATTTTCATCTAACACTCAACAATATGTAACGACAATATTTTAACGAACACGAGGGGAGGTTTTGGATTTTTTTTTTCCAGTTTAATTTCCATTCACTGTCTTATTCAGGTCATTGTTATTCACTGCCGCGCCGAACAGTCCAGTCGCTCTCTAACCGGGTTGGATAGCATGACATTTTTCCTGTTCTTTTATTTTAACGATGGAGGAATTACCTTTTTTGGCCTTCAGTAATTTTGAGACCTTATAGTCTACTGAACTTGTTAGTATACCATCAGAAACCTTCATTCATCGCCTATCAAACTAAACACTGGAAGAACAACTCACATATTCGGCAATAACTCTCAGGCAAGGTGGATGAGGTGAAGTAGAAACAGTACCATTACCACCTTGAGCTGACATGACGACACCACGTACACACAGAAGGAGTCAGATCTGTCCCCTCAAAACGACACCTTGATTTTCCCCTTTTGATGATCTGCCTCTGACTTTCCAATCTGATTCTCCACCCTGACTTTCCACTCACTTCCACCAGGATAGTTAATGTGACTGAGACAACAACACCAGACCCAACCCCTTAGCCTGACTTCTGTCTGATGTGGCACTGCTCTTCCCCCGCACTACTTCTCCCTACTTATGTGAAATCAACTCCCCCGTTTGGTCACTTAGAATACGATCTCTCTCTCTCTCTCTCTCTCTCTCTCTCTCTCTCTCTCTCTCTCTCTCTCTCTCTCTCTCTCTCTCATTCTGACGTTGTTATTGTTCACTGTTGATTAATTTGTTTTTGGGACTTTGTTTTCTATCTGGGCAGGGTTAATTCGCCTTGGCTACCTGGAGTGAGACAGATAAAATGAGGGATGGAGTTTTATGCAGTAGTGTGTGTGTGTGTGTGTGTGTGTGTGTGTGTGTGTGTGTGTGTGTGTGTGTGTGTGTGTGTGTGTGTGTGTGTGTGTGTGTGTGTGTGTGTGTGTGTGTGTCTGTGTGTGTGTGTGTGTGTGTGTGTGTGTGTCTGTGTGTGTGTGTGTGTGTGTGTGTGTGTGTGTGTGTGTATTTCAATATTGATGAGACGTGTACAGATCAGCCATCTGTCAGCCAGATTGAAAACTGCTGTCGTTCAGATTAGGTATATTGCCATCTGCTGTCAGCCTGCTAGTCATTATTTCAGTGTGTGTGTCGGCCGCTGACATCACACCACTCTGGGTCTGTTAAAAGGTGGAGGGTTGAATAGCATACGAGCTGTGGGTGGGAGTAAGAGAAAGATAAATAGATAAATAGATAGATAAATGGTGAGAGAGAGAGATCCATGAAACAGCCCCCCACACAAGCGTACGCGTGAGAAGATGATTAAATTTCTCCAGCAGGGAGGGAAGTATCCAGGAGTAGTGAACAGCTAATCAAAAGTTGCCGACCAATAAGCCGCCAGCACACAAAAGTTGGAAGTAGAGCCGCCTGATTGTGTTGGAGAAATGTTGAAAGTCAAATCAACTTCTCAGGGCCGACGTGCCGCAGTCTGAAAGGCCAAACCCCAATTTGGCCAAACTTATACGGGATCCAAATATGAGGAGGCCTGATTGGTCTTGTACACCCACTAAAAAAATTATTCGGCACCCGTGTCATATTGTATCACGCCGTAAGGGTGCCGAATATTTTTTAGTGGGTGTATATGTATGTATCGTGCATGTATACATGTGTGTGTGTGTGTGTGTACAAGTATCACGTGCACCCACTAAAAGATTATTCGGCACCCTTACGGCGTGATACAATATGACACGGGTGCCGAATATTTTCTTAGTGGGTGTACATCTATGACGTCACACCACGCGCGCTAGTTGGCCCTTTATTGCTAGGATGCCACTCCGCGTGTTCTGATTGGTCCTTGGCCGCTGTGACGTAAGTTTTCATGTCCTGATTGATCATTTACTCACCATGACGTCAGTCCGCTTGAGCTAATTAATCATTTATACCTATAACGTCAGTCATAACTATAATATATAGATCACGGGAATGATATATAGCTAGATAGATAGAGAGATATGTAGAGAGAAGCGGAGACACAGACAGAGAGACCAAGATATCGACGAAAAGAGAAATAGATAAGTTGAAGAAGCACACAGTCCTTCAAGACCTTAGTTGTTAAGGCCTGTACTCCAAGCTTTGTCAATAAATTTGTTAAACTAATTAAAAACTGGGTCACCTACAGCCGATCTATCATAAGCTGTCCCTGAAATATTGAAATTTGGGGACCTTAACATAATTTTATTTTCCAGTTAGCATTTCTACCCTCCCCCTCTCTCTCTGTTTCTCTCTCTCTGGTTCATTTAATTTTTCTCTCTTTCATTTTCTTTATTTTTCCGTTTCTTTGGTGTTGGACGATTTGGAGTGCCCTAGTCTGGACTGATAAAAGAGAGAGAAAAGGAAATAGAGAGACTTTCATTGTACTAAAGTCTCCACAGCCCAGCCCATTATATATGTCTGGTCATAACAAAACAGAGGCAGCCTTTTAGGTAACCCATCGAGAGAGTGAGACCACAGAGAATAGCAAATGGACCTCGACAACAACACCAGCAGTGTGTGTGTGTGTGTGTGTGTGTGTGTGTGTGTGTGTGTGTGTGTGTGTGTGGTTCTCTGACGACGTGCTGCCTGAATAAACACCATTTCTAAGAACTCCTCCACTAAGACTCGGTAATCAGGTTTATTGTTGTACTGCATTTAGGAATCTGTACTGGATGAGATAGCCTAGGACATACTTTGTATATTTTGATGCAACTTTGAGAGATATGTAATTGGTGACTTCTGATTCTTAAGAGTTAGAACTGACTAAGACATGAAATATATAATGTGTGTTTATATATGTATACATTATATAAATTTATTTGTAGCATATACACAGAGAGAAACATACAACCACATACTTTCAAACAGGAGATATGAAAACCTCCAACTGAATAACGCCATTAAGAAAATTAATATATCAAAGTGAACTCTCTCTCACCAAAAATCTACACAGTACTTCCGATAATGGTTTCCCTCCTCTCCTCCAAGAAGCTTTTAGCATTTTTGTAACTTGATGAGGAGAGGAAATACTTGGAGTCTTTGAGGAGATAGTTACCCGGATTTTGATGAAGGGTTGAGATGGTGGTGGTGGTGGTGGTGGTGGTGGTGGTGGTGGTCAGTTGGGTAGGTCGACTTTACACATACAGGTGCAGTTCAGTTACCCCTGGTCAACCTTCTTCTTGTCCGAGCTCTCTTTTTTTTTCTCTCTTTCTCTCTCTGTTGATGTTTCTATCTTTCTCTCTCTCCTGATGCTCTTTCTTTATCTCTCCCAATGTTTCTCTGTCTGTCTATCTGTCTGTCTGTCTGTCTGTCTCAATGGTAAAGTTGTCAGATCGGCTTTAGCATTGCACTCTCATTGTCTTGATTTTTCACTTTCACTCACTCTTACATTCTCCCTTCCTGTCTGTCCATCTGTCTGTCTGTCTGTCTCTCGCTCTTTCTCCCTCTCTTCCCCCCTCCTTTCTTGAATATAGAGGACCCGCATTATTCAGTCACACAATGAAGCCTTAAAATATTCATGTGTTTTGGTCATAGGAAGGTCAAAGAATATAATGTAGGAAATATAATACGCACACACACACACACACACACACACACACACACACACACACACACTTCAGTAAATCTTTCACAAAACTCGCAATGTTATGAAATGAATCAAGTTGGTTGAACACATTGACAGCAGCAGTTACTAAAGCTGTTGCTATTTTCGGCGAGGGGAATATTCATAGGAGTTTACACAACTAACTAAGGTAAATATTGATGCTGGTGTTGTTGGTCTAGTGTGCGACTTGTAAGGTCTTGTAGGAAATATCAACAATTGAATTCACTCCATTTCTGATATTTTCAGTTCATATTTGGCACAGATGTAATCATGTATGAAAGTGTGTGTGAGTGTGTGTGTGTGTGTAGCTTATCTCTCTCTCTCTCTCTCTCCTCTACAAGCCATGGCTGGGTCGTAATCGAGGCAATTAATCAGAGAAGTAATTTTACGGTGGCCAACACACCATCAGTCATTAGTCATCACACAGACAGGCGGGCGGGGCCGAGGTAGTGTCAGCAATGGTGGGTAATAGCTAATGGTCTGCTTCAATGGTTAATGGTTCGATATTACCTTTAAAGGCTCGTTCTAATGGCAAATGGTTCGCTTTTGTGGGTAATTTTTTGGTCTAATTGGATATTGGGATGCTTCTAATGGATCTTTTTTAATGGTTATGGCTTGGTCTAATGGCTAATGGTCCGATCTCATGGGTAATGGTTGGTTCTAATACATCTTAACGGCTGATTGCCATGACTTGTTCAAATGGTGTGATTTAAGTGGCTTATCACAAACCACCGTCAATACACTACCAATCACAATACGTGTTGGAGGAGAGGAGTGTTATCATTGATCTAATTACCAAGGTAATTTACATCAGGGACAATGAGAAAATATTCCCCTCCGGTAAAAATTAATGGCTCGGGGAGGTGGTGCATTAAGCCATTGTAAACTGCGCCACAAAACGTAATTTAGTACTTGATGGTAACAGAGCAGATTATCTGTTGAAGCGCCAAGCAGTAGTAACGGATGGATAGTGACGGTGGTAGGTGGTGATGGTGGGAGGTGGTGATGGTGGTAGGTGGTGAAGGTGGTAGGTGGTGATGGTGGTAGGTGGTGAAGGTGGTAGGTGGTGATGGTGGTAGGTGGTGAAGGTGGTAGGTGGTGATGGTGGTAGGTGGTGGAGGTTGGTGGTGGTGAGGGTTGTTGGTGGTGTAAGTGCTGTTGTAGGTGGTAGTGCTGGTGGTAATAATGTTAGTGGTGGTCGGGGTAGGTGGTGGTAGGTGTAGGTGGTTGCTGGTGCTGCCGCTATAGGTGGTAGTGGTGGTGGTGGTGGCAGCGCACTGGCTGTGTCATGACTGTTGCGTGAATGTTTGTGTGTGTGTGTGTATGTGTGTGTGTGTGTGTGTGTGTGTGTGTGTGTGTTACAGTTTCCCAGGAGAAACTGAAATATATAAATATTAACTTAACTGAAAAAGGTGAGAGTGAAAATGAGACAGTGTGAGTACATAACAGTGTACACTCGCGGCACACAAAAACACAACGTGATCGACACTACGCTAGACCGCCTTCTCTTCCCCAGCGTTTAAAGTTTGGTACCTGCGCACACACTGGTTGACTTGAGAGTGCCGTGGGATCAAACTATCGTCCTTTTAAGACAGGAAGCGGGGTATTCACTCTGCCACCGTATCCTTACATAATACTTCCTTGAGATAAATGTATAGTATATATCAGGTGCCTTCAAGAGTGCTCAGGTTCTCAACTGGCTCAGCCATGTTATTATTGTTATTATTATAGACTCTGTGTTTGTCTGGCTAAATAAACTGTTTCAATATCAATATCAATATCTTTATTCGCTTCAGTTACCATACTAAAAAAAATCACTTCTCCCTCATCTCCCTTTCCTTTTCTCCCTCCTTTACCTCCTTACCCTTTCCTCCCTTTTCCCTCCCCATTATTCCTTACTGTCTTTTTTCTCCTCCTTCCCCTCTCCTCTTCCTTCCTTC